TCTGCATTGTTCGGTCTCATGTCTCTCATTTTTCTCTTGGCTTCTCTATGGGGTTCAGGTCAGGCAAGTTTGCTGGCTAATCAAGCACAGTAATCCCACGGTCATTGAACCAGGTTTTGGTGCTTTTGGCAGTGTGGGAAGGTGCCAAGTCCTGCTGGAGAATGAAGTCACCATCCCCATAAAGCTCATCTGCGGAAGGAAACATGAAGTGCTCCAAAATCTCCTGGTAGATAGCTGCATTGAACCTGGACTTAATGAAGCACAGTGGACCAACACCAGCAGATGACACAGCTCCCCAAATCAACAGAAACTGTGGAAACTTCACACTGGACTTCAAGCATCTTGCAGTGTGTGCCTCTTCATTCTTCCTCCAGACTCTGGGTCCTTGGTTTCCAAATGAGATGCAAAAGTTGCTCTCATCAGAAAAGAGGACTTTGGACCACTGAGCAACAGACCAGGTCTGTTTTTCTTTAGCCCAGGTAAGACTTCTGATCTTGTTTGTTGTTCAGGAGCGGCTTGACAAGAGGAATATGACATTTGAAGCCCATGTCCAGGTGTGGCTCTTGATGCACTGACTCCAGCTTTAGTCCACTCCTTGTGAAAATCCCCAACACTTTTGAATGGCCTTTTCCTAATAATCCTTTCCATGTTGCGATCATCCCTGCTGCTTGTACACCTTTTTCTTCCACACTTTTCCCTTCCACAAAACTTTCTATTAATGTACTTTGATACAGCACTTTGGGAACATCCAACTTCTTTTGCAATTACCTTTTGAGGCTTTCCCTCCTTATGGAGGGTATCAATGATGGTTTTCTGCACAACTGTCAGGTCAGCAGTCTTTCCCATGATTGTGATTCCTACTGAACCAGACTGAGAGACTATTTAAAGGCTCAGGAACCCTTTGCAGGTGTTATGGCTTAATTAGCTGATTAGAGTGGGACACTTTGAGCCTAGAATATTGAACCTTTTCACAATATTCTAATTTTCTGAGATTGTGGATTTGGGGTTTTCATGAGCTGTAAGCCATAATCATCTCGATTATGACACATCATGGCTTGAACTATCTTGCTTTTCATGTAATGAGTCTATCTCATATATTAGGTTCACCTTTTAAGTTGAATTACTGAAATAAATGAACTTTTGCACGTTACTCTAATTTTTCAAGTTTCACCTGTATGAATGAATGAATGAATGACTGAATGAATGAATGAACAAATAGACAAAAAGTCTCAGAAACCAGTAAGATTTCTCAGCAAAAGAATGTAAACCTTTTAGAACAATGCCAGAAAATAGAATTTAAAAAAGGCTGAAGCATGATTCTCACAAGTTCTCTTTCATAAAATATTAAAGAACTAAACAACTTATTAAATAGAAAACGGCCTAAGGGCCCAATTCCATTTTTTAAAGGGATGTTGAAAGCAAGAAAAAAAAGTCTTATAACATTGAGATTTACAGAAAGGCAAAAGGATTTTCCCACGCACCCCACTTTGACATTTGAGATTTGTGTTTCTTTCAAGCACCGGGATGGGTCCATACCACTGCTTGCCTCTTTCCGTCCACTCCTTTTTTGGCCTGCCTTCTACAGAAGAAGCCAGCACAACTTCTCATCTACAGCTGGCAACCTGCAACAAACTGTCTTCCTTTTTTTTTTTTTTTACTTTTAAAGTACACTTAAAAAAAAAAGGACACACAAAAGAACCAGAATTGAAAGGAGGGACCTTCTGCCAGGGTGAAACACATCTTTAGGATTGCTGATATGTCTAATAAAAGTATACACCCATAGTAAAACACACCCACAGTCACTTTCCGGCACACAGCGGCTAAAATCTACTTGACGGTATCAAGGGTTGGGTTTTTTAAAATAATAACATTATTATTATTATTATTATTATTATTATTATTATTATTATTATTATTATTACACAGTTTAATAATAGCAACCACCTCCTTCAGTACAAGCAGTTCTGTTGCTATTAAACAAACGTATAAAAATAGCCATATCTTGTTTTGCAGTTACAAAAGCTCCACCATGGAAAGTACTTGCTTTGAAAAAGTGTAAGATATGGTGTTGGAAGAGGAATCTCCACCCTACTTTAAGTTCACAATTGCCATTGAGTTGACAGAAGGTAAGACAAGAGCCAGTTTGCTCAACATTCCATTTATGGTCTTGAAGCAGCTGCTCCTTCTTTCTCAAGTCTATGATGGGCATTAAAACCTTCCTGAGAGAAGCTCTATTATCTTCTGGAACTCCCTAACAATCCCTTCTTTGGGGAAAAGGATCCTTTTGTCCTGTCCAGGATGAAGACCAAAGAAGCAGCACCTCCATCAACCAACCTATCTCATCTTCTCCACATCACCGTATGGCACACAAAGGCACTGGCAATCAGGTGACTAGTCTGGGAAGTTTTGAGAGTTGGGCCATCACATTTGGATGTCAGAGAAGGCCAGTTTGTGCCCAGGAAAAGGAAGGGGTTTGTGGAGGCTTCAGCCAAACAACATCTAACCCAGGGTTTCTCAACCATGAAGCCATAAGATGTGAAAATGTCAACTCTCAGAACTTGGCTGGGGAATTCTGGAAGTTGAAGTCCACACATCCCCAAAATTGAATGGTTGGGAAGCCTGGTCTTCTGAGGAGATGCACAATGCAATACATATGCAACATGGCCACAGTGGTACACTCAATATGTCCTTCAAGGAGATAGCCTTGAAGTGACTTATCTGGGGACAGCAATTCTACTCAAGACAGGTGTATATATGAACGAAGCAGCAATTCCAGACCAAGAGGGTGACAGCTGGACCACAATCTCTTTTAGTCCACAACTTGTAAGGGCAGCCTCCTTTTGCAACACAGTGGGTCTTTCTCATCCTGTTCTGCAACATTGAAGACTACAGGTAATCTTTGACTTACAACTATTTGTTTGGCAACAGTCTGCAGTTTCAACAACACTGAAAAACAGTGACTTACTTTCACACTTACAGTATGTAAATGAGGGGTAAATGAGAAGAGGATTGCATCATAATCCCACAGTACTTGCAAGAACTAGTTTCAGAATGTGAGAGATTTTCTTAAACAATTATATGTTCAGATTCCACTTAAATTACTCCTTGGATGGGCTGACCGATTATCTGATTTGGTAGGAGAAACACCGGAGAACAACCTAAGATTAGAGTGCTGAAGATAACTTGCTTCTCATGTTAGAGTTATAAATGCAGAGAGCCAGATTTTCAGGTCCTGGTGTGTACTGGCATTGCCAGATCACCCTGAAAACTGGTCCTACAACCTACTCGTTAAGTAAATGATCAGGTGTGTGTTTGTATAGGTATGTGTATGTATATATGTTCAAGCACAAGGCTGAATGCTGGAAAAGTGCATTTTTAGCATATTTCAAGTGATATCAAAATAATTTTACAAGGAAGGTTCTTCTTTCCAGAGAAGAAAGTTTCAATGAGCACTTTCCCATTCCCTGGGATTTTTTTTTTTTCCTTTTGAAAAATACCAAAAATAGACTGCATTTTGTTAAGTTTAATTTTGGAGGGAAATAGTGTGCAGTATGGAGGTAGAGAACCTATTTAGTCCAAAGGACTTTAGGCAAATCTGCGGCAATGTGCCAATAGTGGGTGTGGCTGCTATAGAGGGCAAGCCCAGCCCACCGGGCTAGACAGCTGAGATGCCTTTATACTAACTAGCACACGTTCTCCTTCATTCATGGTCATACACCATTCTCTCTCTCTCTCTCTCTCTCTCTCTCTCTCTCTCTCTCTCTCTCTCTCTCTCTCTCACACACACACACACACACACACACACACAAATTAAGGAGTCCAATATCCAGGATTTGCTATGTTACATGCCAGTACTTGTTTATTTAACAAAGGTATATGGCCACCATCTTATAGACATGTAGGTGCGTAAAGTAAAAGTAAAATAAAACAACCCTAATTGCAAATAACACTGTATTAGCACAAAATAACCTAGCATCTTCCTGTTTACACCACCTGTCATTATTTGATTAGCAAACATCGGCTCCTGAGAACGTGCAGAGTGCATTTTCTTCACCACCGGCAGTTCAAGCAGATGTCCTTTTAGCAACTAAACTCCAAATACCGCTTCCTTAAATACTATTTAAACTATTCAAAGTATTTAAAGTATTCCTTAAATACTTTTCAAACGGAGAAATCGCCCGTGAGAAATCGCCGCCGCAAAACCAGTAGCCACGAAACCAGTAGCCAGCTGTGCCTTCCAGCCCCAGCCGGCCAGCATAATCACGCGGAGGTTGTAGGCGAAACTCAGAAAGTTCCCAAATTCTTTCGCGGGTCATGAAGTAGCTGTAGCAGACTCTTTGATCTCTCTCTCCCTCCCTCCCTCCTTCTTACTCTCTTTCTCTGTCTCACTCACTCTCACACACACACTCGGCTGGGACGCGCGGTTTGCAAGTCTCGCCCGCTTCCTGGTGCCCCGGCTGGCGGCCCCCTCTGGTTCAGCTCTCAGGTGTTCTGGGTGGATCACCGCGAAGAGCACCCTCGCAGCCACCTCTCTGCCTTCCTTTCAAGGTTTATCGTTTCAAGCCCTTGAGTGCTTCTTAGCCTGCGACCACCACCACCCTTAAAACCGTCCCGTTATGAACTCCTTCCCCCTCCCCGGCTTCTAACTACAGATTCCTCCCTTCCTCGGACCAGTTCTTGGAAGCGAGACCGCGCATAATCATCTCGTTTTGCCAGCCGGTCGTCCACACCGCGACGCTCAGAGCACGGATTATTTCTTTCGCCCCAATCCACGCACGAATCCACCCACGTCGCCACTTGTCCAGATTGCAGCTTCCAAGAAACCTTCGCTTGCTCCTTGCTAATAGCAGGGAGGACCAGAATAGCAGGGAGGCCAGAAAACATTTCAACGAAGACAGAACACCCACGGTGGGAAAACAAGCAGCCTCCCTGGGAAGCGCCAAGCCTCCGAGCCCTTTCCCACGCTCGGGAGAAAAGCAAAAGAGGCGCCCTTCCCTTACCTTTATATTTATCCATCCTGGGTCTCTCGCCTTTTAATTGGCGCTAGGCGGGATAGAGAGGTCTTTCCTAGAGTTGGAGGGTCCGGGTTTCTCCCACGTTCTCCAAAAACTCCGGACGGACTTCTCCCAGCGGGATGCGCCTCTTTCGCCCTGCTTGCGGATTCTTTGCCTTAACTCTCGGGTAAAACCTTCTCGGACCGCCTTGCCGCTTCCTAGCTCCGCCCTTCCTATGAGGTCAGAATCGTCGGACCTTACAGGGACCTACGAGCGGTTGGGTGGCTGGAGAACGGCGTGGGAAGGGAGCGGTTAGGGAAGGGTGAATTTGGGTCCCCCCCAAACCAGCTTCGACGTCTCGTGCAAACCCTGCAAACCAATTCAATGTGAACCAACAGCCAAAGAAGCCAATTTATCAGAGGGATACAATCGAGATCAAGTGAGGTACTAATACCACTCTGTAAAGCCTTAGTTTTAGACCACACCTAAAATACTGCATCCAGTTTTGGTCACCATGCTACACAAAAGATATTGGCAGAGAAGAGCAACCAAGATGATGAGAGGACTAGAAGCTAAAACGTCAGATGAACTGGGCATGGCTAGTCTAGTAAAGAGAAGGACCAGGGGAAACATGATAGCGGTCTTCCAATATTTGAGGGGCTGCCACAGGGAAGAAGGGGTCAAGCTATTTTCTAAAGCACCTGTAGGCCAGACAAGGAATAATGGATGGAAACTGATCAAGGAGAGATTCAACCTGGAATAAGGAGAATTTTTTTGACAGTGAGAGCAATCAACTAATGGAAAAGCTTGCCTTCAGAAGTTGTGGAAACTTCATTACTGGAATCTTTCGAGAAGAGACTGGAGTTCCGTCTCTCAGAAATGGTGTAGGGTTTCTTGCTTGGATGGGGGGTTGGACTAGATGACCTACAAAGTCCCTTCCAACTCTGTTAATCTGCTAATCTGTTAATGCAAGCATGTCAGTCGGTCATACATATTCAAATAAGTACTTGGAAGACAAGGCAACTGATTTTCCTTTCTCGCAATGCCTATGAGAACTTCTACGAAACCTCAGCTCAATCCTCTGGGTATCTCATGTGTTTCCCAAACACGTTTTTTGGGGGTGGGTGGGGGTGACCTTGGCTTTCAAGATGCAGGGCATGTGAGCAAGGAGAACTGTCTGTTGTCTTTTGCTTGTTCTTTCAACTCCCCCCCCCCCCCCCCCCCCCCCCGCCACTCCAGTAAGACATTGTTGGAATAACTGGAGCCACCAAATTTGATTCCTAACGTTCAGAAGATCACTAGATGGCAATAGAAATTTAAGGGTTTATGTTAATATCTGCTGCCTTTTTGTGCTCAACTGGATTTTTGAAGTCTGCTATATAGTAATACAACTTTTCTGATCAGTGATGAAATCCTTGGATTGATAGTAGTGTGCTTAACAGAAAGAAAGCGACATAGTGTTCCATTTTAAATGATGGGAAAGTTGAAGCAACTTCCAGTCTTGTTGAAAACAGTAGCTCTGGGAAAATGGAAAGTGAACATGGAAATCTACAAGGCTGGAGAGGTGGCAGGTTGTTGCACTTTTTCATTTCCACAGTGACAAGGGGTTGATCGGCTCCTTCAGCATGAAGACAACTGAATATCCATTTCTCAAAGAGGAAAACACAAACTTTCCCTGAACCTCACCTGTCTTACTCCAGTGAAAAGAAGTGTCTTGTCATTTCTGCCAGCTTCTTGAGAACTTTTAAGGACACCTTCAGTCAGAGCATCTTATCGTAGTTCAAACGTAGTTCAAACACGAGGCCTCCCACTCCAGAAAAGGATGCAATAGAATCTGAGCCTTGAATCTTGGCTACAACCCTGCCAGTTGTTCCAGTTACAGCCATTAACACCAGGAGAATCCCAGTTTCTATGCAAGCTTCTTAGGATGAGTGCAAGGCTGTCCGGAGCCATGGACAGAACTAGCCTGGAGCAAGAGGGCTTCTTAACAAACAAGAGGACTAAAATGTAGCCTTTTGTCAAAATCAGTCCCTCCAGGCATCAAGCCCTATCTCCTGCTTGGCCTGGGGTGGAGATATAGAACTGGGTATCATTAACACACTGATGCTAATGATACTTCTGAAACCGATAGATTATCTCCTAGCAGTGTAATTATTGTAGGTATTTAAAAAGAATGAGGGGGGGTACCAAGCCTGGAGTCATCCCAGGTTCTCCTGCTACTCCTCCTCCTCCTCCCACGGAGCGAACCTGCAAGAAGTATGGGAAAAATTCTGCAAAACAGAGCCTCTGGCCTCTAATTGTCACAAACTCTCCAGAAGGATTGGTGGCATTCAGTGCCATTAAGAGATTAGGCAGAAGGAGAGTAGGCCAGCACCGAATATCAGTCAAAATTTTATCAGATATGTATTAAGTGAGGTTTCAAACAATGTTCAAACACATTGCATTAAAGGAAGTTGACTCATTCATCAGATAGAAAGTCACTGTTAATTGGCTGTCCTTCTTCAGCCATTCCTTGCTCCAACCACTTTGGAATTTGAACCTTTTATCTATTTTCATTCCCTAGACCTGTGATGGTGAAACTATGGCACACGTGCCAGAGGTGGCACGCAGAACCCCCTCTGTGGGCACACAAGCCATCACCCCACCTCAGCTCCTCCACCAGGTGTGCATGCCTCTCACCAGCCAGCTGGTCTTTGGGTCTCTGTTGTGCATGCGCAGGGCACATACGGGGGGGCGGGGTGCACACATGAAGGACACACATGCATGCGTGGGGGATGCGGTGCATGCACAGGGAACATGCACACGAATGGGGTTGGGGCACGTGTGTGGGAGGTGGGCCACATGTGCAGGGGATGCACACATGCATGGGGAATGTGCATATGCATGGGGGGGGGAACACACATTGCATTTTGGGGGTGCACCAGAGGTATTCAGCAGGTTCTGACCAGTTCTGGAGAACCGGTAGCGGAAATTTTGAGTAGTTCAGAGAACTACTCAAATACCACCTCTGACTGGCCCTGCCCCCATCTATTCTCTGCCTCCCGAGTCCCAGCTGATCGGCTGGGTCTTCTTTTGTTGCCCTGCACAGGAGAACAGAACTGGAAAGCAGGTTAGTGGGATGGGGAGGAAATGGGATTTCGCAGGAACCTTTCCCCAGGAGTGGGAGGAAATTGGGATTTTACAGTATTCTTCCCCTGCTATGCCCACCAAGCCATGCCCATCAAGCCACACCATGCCCACCAAACCATGCCCACAGAACCTGTAGTAAAAAAATTTGAATCCCACCACTGGGGCGCACACACGCGCTTTGGGTACTCAGTGCTGAAAAGGTGAGCTATCACTACTCTAGGCTGTGAACCCACACTTAGTCTCACTTAGAGTCTAAGAGCCAGAATGCATCTATCTTCATTCATTAGTTCTCCATCGGAACCTTATTTCCTAGTCTAGAAGACAATTCCAGTACCTGTTCAGCCTCACCATTATTACCTAATGCAGAGAAACTGACTGGATATCATCAATATATTTCAGATCTTCAGCTGCTGTCACCAAACAGATATCAAGGAACATGGGGAATTAGTGTTTTAAAGAAGGAAAATCAAACTTCGTACACATTTATTGACTTGATGCCTGCTTCTTTTTATTGGACCATTTAGTATTGCTCTCTTCTACCAACGCCATCTGAGCATGTACAGAGTACACTATTCACCCAGTGGTGGGATTCAAATTTTTTTTACTACTGGTTCTGTGGGCGTGGCTTGGTGGGTGTGGCATGGCTTGGTGGGCATGGCAGGGGAAGGTTACTGCAAACTCTCCTCCCCCCCCCCCACTAACCTGCTTTCCATCTCCGTTCTCCTGTGCAGGGTAACCAAAGAAGACCCAGCCAATCATCTGGGGCTCAATGGGAGGCAAAGAATGGATGGGGGCGAGGCCAGTCAGAGGTGGTATTCCAAACTACTCAAAATTTCCACTACTGGTTCTCCGAACTACTCAAAATTTCCACTACCGGTTCTCCGAATTATTCAAAATTTCTGCTACCGGTTCTCCAGAACTGGTCAGAACCTGCTGAATACCACCTCTGTATTCAGCCTATAGATCTGAAAAAGGAATTCTGAAAAAAGTAAAATATTGTGAAGTAGGTCTAGCTAGTTACTCATCCCATGGGGCAGCTCTCGGAAAATTTAGCTCAAAGAAAAAGCAGAAAACAAATGTAACCATCGTAATAGGAATCACCACACAAAAGTGAGCAATGACAATCAAATTAGTTTTGTTCCTTCCATGTGATATTTAGGGTCTAGATGATCAAGTTATTCAATCATGTGAGGACCTTTCAAGAATATTGCCAGCTAGGTTTCCCCCTATTTTGACTTCTTTGTAAAGGAACTTGGTTTTTTAAAAATAATAAGCAAATATTTTTCAGACCAACTGGAGTATATTGAAAATGTACTATATTAGTCTTTATTAACATTTTGCCTTTGCACTTTCTGTGAAACTTTCAGTTATGATGAAAATAATTAACAGACAGTTATCTAGTGGGATGATATACAGGTTAAACCTAAAAAAGAGATGTATTCCCTCTGGTTGAATTTTTAACTAAAATATAAAGTACAAGAAATTAAAAGCACATATTATGACTTTTGTCTAAGGAGAAAAAAAAAAATCGGCTTTTTGGAAGCTGCAGGCCAATGGTTTCTTTACATGTAATACTAAAACATTATTAATAAGAAAAATAAATGACAGTGTTTCTGTTTTGAGTGATATGAGAATATAAGATCATTAGAAATTTTTTAAAATAAAAAAAATTATTGTATTCTGATCTTAAATAGTAAATTTATACTGGTTTCAGCAATGAGCTGAAGTATTTAGCTGATAGTGGCTCTCACTATCAGAGAAACTGTTTCTATTCTTGACGTAAAGATTCAATTTAGAGTAAATCAAATTGAGAGTCAGTATACTAAGTGATTTAGAACACTTTCTCCAAACTTAATGACTTCCAAATGTATTAGTCTTTGACTTACCATATATTGAACATATCTTGTCCCCATCTTTTATGGACATATAATAAATAATAACAAGAATAACAAGAATAATAAAAACATTTAAGGAAAATGTGGTCAATATTGTTTGGAAATCTTATTACTTGAACCTCTGTTGAAACGGAGATGAAGAGCACATATTAA